CACACACACACACACACACACACACACACACACACACACACACACACACACACACACATGCCAACAAAAAAATGGTCCTCCAACCCACATGGAACTTAGCCCAGAACCACCCCTTCTTGATGATTAAACTAACAAGCCTAAATAGTAAACCAGGCCCAAAAGGGCCGTCTCAAAGTTTCAAACTTCCTGACAGAGGCAACTGCAGGCAGTGCAGGGTTCATGATGTGGGCGGGCAAGGAGGAGGTGAAACCAAGACAGTGTTCCCAGCACTGGGAGTGAGTGGTGGAGGAGGCCTGATTGCGGGTGGGAGCAGAGGTGGTGGCCCTACTCCGCTTTGAGGAGGAGACACTCCATGTTGTGGAGGTGGCGGTCCTTGTGATGATGGAAGTGGCTGTGGTGGCAACGGAGGACGTGGAGGCATAGCAGAGTGGGACGGTGGAGGGGTGGTGATTACACCTTGAGACAAGGGTGGTGCCATTCCGCCCTGTGATGAAGGTGGTGGCATTCCACCTTGGGATGAGGATGGTGGCATTCCGCCTTGTGATGAGGGTGGTGGGGGTGGCATTCCTCCTTGTGGGGATGGTGAGGGGGGTGGCATCCCTGCTTGGGATGATGGAGGTGGAAGGACTGCACCTTGGGATGAGGGACGCAGAGGTGGTGCCAATCCAGGTTGTGATGACAGAGGGGAAGAGCCACTCTGTGATGACGATGGTGGTGGTGGTGGCCTCCCGCCTTGGGGCAGCATAGATCGTGGTGGCATTCCACTCTGTAGGGGGGGAGGAGGCCGCATTGCACCTTGTGGAGGAGGTGGCATTCCGCCTTGTGGAGGAGGTGGCATCCCGCCTTGTGAAGGAGGTCCCATTCCACCTTGTGGAGGTGGCATTCCACCCTGTGGTGGAGGGGGTGGCATTCCTCGGTTTGGGGGGGGTGGCATTCCTGGAGGCCTTCCGATCTGCGGAGGTGGCGGCATTCCGCTTTGTGGACGGGGTGGAAGTCCACCCGGCAATGGTGGCATTCCACCTTGGGGAGGTGGCTGCATCCCACCAGGTGGTGGTGGTGCCATACCACTTGGACGAGGAGGGGCAGACATTCCACCCTGCTGTGGTGGCATTCCAGGTGGCTGTTGTGGTGGGGTTGCTGCAGGTGTAAGTGGCATTCCTCCTGGCTGTGGTGGTGACGGCATTCCCAAAGGCTGAGGTCGTGGTGGCATAGCTGAAGACTGTGCAGGAGGGCCCATGGACGATGGTAGTGGTGGCATCCCAGTCTGTGGCGGTGGTGGCCTTCCTGATTGTGGGGGAGGTGGCATTGTTGACCTCGGAGGAGGGGGCATTCCAACCGGTGGTGGAGCACGCATCCCATTCGGCATGGGAGGGCCTTGGGAATGGGGAGGTCGCATGGGGAAAGGAGGAGGGAGCCCCCTTGCATGCAGTAGTGGTGGTGGGCCTCGTGAGCCCATCTGCTGAAGAGGAACTGGTGGCCGTTGAGGTGGGACAAATCCCTGGGGAGGCAATGGCATGCCCATCATTTGTCGAGGATGCCCTGGCCCATCAACCACCGGTGGAGGGGGTGGCCTAGGCCCATTCATTGAGGGTGAAAGACCAGGTGGAGGTCCTCCATTCACAGGTGGATGATGAGGACCTGCAGTGAAGGGTGGTGGTGGGCCATTCCCAGAAACAGGAATCGGTGGCATCCCGTGTGGTGGGGGGGGCATGCCGTTGGGTAGGGGAGGTCGAAGTGGGAATGGTGGTGGTCCCAATCCTGGAGGAGGGCCCATGGATCCAGGAGGACCACCCATGTTTGGTGGGGGAGGGAGATTTCCAGGCAGAGGGGGTAGACCAGACGGCAGTGGAGGAGGGCCTTGCACCATCGGAGGACGAGGGTGGGGAGCCCCCGGCAGTGGTGCCGGCCCTGGACCCATTCCGCCAGGAGGTCCTCTTTGCAAAGGTGGTTCCACAGGGGGTGGTCCAATGTCCATTCCATCTGGCCCATCCGTCTGTCCAGGTGCACGACCACCTGCAGGCTTCTCCTGCAACTTGGGCTTGAAATACAGCTGAAGAGTGAATACCTTTGAATCTGGATCCCAGTGTGTAAAGAAACGACTTGCTGCCTTGTCGATCTCTGTGCTTGGGATCTTGAAAGCAATGATCTCATACGGCTCTGCTGCAAAAAGAAGGTACTGGAATCGCTTATCCCACGCTTCAATCCTTTGCTCATACGAAGACATGAACCTGTGCCTTGGCTTGGTTCCATCTTCAATCTCAGGGTACTCTATCTGAAACAAGAGTGACCGTTGATGCACCTCTGCATCGTACTGTTTTGTAACACGGTATCCAGGCCGGCCAATCTTTGTCGTCTTCCGGGGGACAATCTTGCGTTTGTTCGGCTGTGGCTGCACAGGGGCTTCCTTTGCCTCTCGAGCTGCTCGCTTGGCTAGATTTGTTTGGTGACGTTTTCCTTGTGTGTGTGCAAGGTAATTGCCCTCATTGTTGTGCAGAGTCAAGCACAGTTTGCATTCATAGCTTCCAAGATGGTTCCGCATAAAATAGGGATCTTTTGCAAGATCAATCGTCTCCAGAGCCAGTCGCCTTAGCCTCTCACGCCTGTCAACAGCCTCATTCTGAGCAGAGGCTGCACCTCCACTCCCAGGCTTGCTTCCCCAATCCCGATCCATTTTCGAAAGCCGAAGTGGCAATTGGTGACTGCCCCTTCTTCAACCCAGAAGATCAGGCGATATTCACATCAGCGTAGGATCGTACCGCAAAACAACAACGAGATTCTACTTGCAGGCTCAGCAAGGCCCCTTTTTGCCCCTGTAGGACTTTATTCTCACCTGCACAAAAATAACACCTGTAAGCACGGAATCGTTGGGCCACTGCTCTCTCTCTCTCTCTCTCTCTCTCTCTCTCTCTCTCTCTCTCTCTCTCTCTCTCTCTCTCTCTC